GAGTCAACCCTGAGCCGGTGAGATTTGAACCGCTGACCTGCTGATCTAGCAGTAGCCTGCAGTGCTGCATTTAACCACTGCGCCACCTTGGCGGACCACGCAGAGGCCACGCGAGGCTTGTTTTGGCCGACAGAGGCACCGTAGGCTGGACTTTTGATATTTCCAGGCTGGCCCCACTGGCCAGATTTACGCACGCTGCAGACCGGATCCAGCCTTGAATTTGACACCCCTGACATAGATAATTCCATACAGGTAGTCCTCGGCTTACAACCACTCATTTAATGACCGTTCAAACTTAGAACAGTACCGAAAAAAAGTGACTTTGACCGATTTTCATACTTAGGGTGGTTGCAGCATCCCCATGGTCACACGATCCAAATTGGGGCGCTTGGCAACTGACAGTTGCACTATCACGGGATCAGAGGATCTCCTTTTGTGACCTCCTGAATGGGGAAGCCAGATTCACTTACCAACCGTGTTACTAGCTTAACAACTGCAGTGCTTCACTTAGCAACCGTGGCAAGAAAGGTAGTTAAACAAGAAGCAATGGGTGGAAACTCATCAAGGAGAGAAGCAACTTAAAACTGAGGAGAAATTAGAACAGTTAATCCAGTGGAACAACTTGCCTCCAGAAGTTGTGAATGCTCCATTCAACACTGAAAGTCTTTTAAGAGGATGTTGGATAGCCATTTGTCTGAGGTGGTGTAGGGTTTCCTGCCTTGGCAGGGGGTTGGACTAGAAGACCTCCTCCTTGTTGTTTGTTTGGAGCAAGAGGAATAGGAGAAGAAATTCCTGCTGATGATGTTACCAAGTCTGGTAACGAAACGTCCGGAAACTAAATTGAAACAACGCTGGAAAGCAAGCCAATGCCAAAATCTAAAACCCGAGCTACAAATATTTTTTTATTATTATTTCACCCATAAATCATATTAGATAAATGTCTGTCCGACCTCATAAGATGAAAATAGCTTCATCTTATGCTTCAGTCAATATTTATTCATTTATTGGTAAAATTTATACATAAGAGGATGCTGCAAAAATGGAGTTGGGAGAAATAACAGAAAAACAGAGTTGGAAGGGACCTTGGAGGTCTTCTAGTCCAACCCCCTGCTTAGGCAGGAAACCCTACACCCCTGCAGACAAATTGTTGTCCAACTTCTTCTTAAAAACTTCCAGTGTTGGGGCATTCACAACTTCTGGAGGCAAGCTGTTCCACTGATTAATTGTTCTTACTGTCTGGAACTTACTTTTTAGTTCTAGGTTGCTTCTCTCCTTGATTAGTTTCCATCCATTGCTGCTTGTTCCTGCCTTCAGGTGCTTTCAGGTTGACCCTCTCTTCTTTGCGACTCATGCTTTGCAGATGAATCATTGCTGAAAGAGACATGGTGCTCAAGGGGCTAAGATGCCGAGCTTGTCGATCGGCAGTTCGGCGGTTCGAATCCTTAGCGCCGTGTAACGGACTGAGCTCCCGTTACTTGTCCCAGCTTCTGCCAACCTAGCACTTCGAAAGCATGTAAAAAATGCAAATAGAAAAATAGGGACCACCTTTGGTGGGAAGGTAACAGCGTTCCGTGAGCTTTCGGCGTTTAATTATGCGGGCCACATGACCATGGAGACGTCTTCGGACAGCGCTGGCTCTTCGGCTTTGAAGCTGAGATGAGCACCGCCCCCTAGAGTTGGGAATACTAGCGCATACGTGTGAGGAGAACCTTTACCTTTTACGTTGCATTGCTGAAAACACGACACTGGCCTTATCAGCCCATCTGTTCTTTTCTCTCTGTCTGCAGTTGGACCGATCCGCCATTTTCAACAAGAATGTCCGGAAGATCAAGTTACCTCACGCCTACACCGATCTTTGCCCCGGAGTCGCCTGCCATGTTATCGGCTGGGGAGACATCTCCAATTATGCAACCATCCCCACCGAACTCATGGAAGCCAACACGACCATTGTGGACAGGAAGGCTTGTAATGCATCGTGGCAAGGACATGTCTTCAAGGGCATGATCTGCGCAGCCAGCACCAGTGCCGTCCTGCGTGGTTTCTGCTCGGTGAGCCTGGGGTGGCTTTCCCAAAATAGAAACTCAGCTAAGGAGTTTCAGATGCCGTGTTTGGTCAGAGACTGAACACAGCGAGGGGGAAATTGTGAAGTTGAGACAGTGCTTGACAAAAAGGTTCATGCTGTCATCCATCACCTCTTTGGGTTGATGGATTTAAACCAGGGGTGTTAAATTCAAGGCCTGTGGGCTGCATCCAACCTGCGGTTTGCTTAGATCTGGCCTATGGGGCCGCCCTGGAAACAGCAATGGACTGGCCCACGGTACCTCGGTGTTTGCCCCTCCCGAGCTCCGTTTTCACTGGCAGAGGGTTACAGGAGGCCGTGGCAGCCGAAAAGGGAGCTCGGGAGCCTGTTTTTGCTGGCAAAATGCTTGCGCCAGTGGTGGG